CGCTATGGGTCGGAACCGACTCGACGGCACATAACAACAACAATAACAACATTTAAGAATAAGGCACAGATCTACAATCAGAAGTCAAAACTCAATAGCATAGTCTTTTTGTGGGACTTCTAAATAACACATTCGGGTTTGAAGTCTGATCCCAAGTAAATTATTTCTATGATACCTATGGCCTTCAACAAAAAAAATTTCAATCTGGTTTTAAAAACTGTGCAGATAATTAATATATATACACACTCACCTGAAGAATCTGTTTTCCATTAACAATCGTGCCATTTTGACTGCCTTGATCCACAAGGACGTAACTTTGTAAGTCATGGTCAAAATGAATTTCTGCATGAAACTTAGAAAAAAGAATATAGCAATTATAAACTACAGCAATTTTTTTGTGTATGTGGGGGGGATCACAATGGATCCACAAGATAAGCACTGGACTGTGAGTCACAAGGTTGGCAGTTTGAGCCCACCAGTCGCTCTGCAAGAGAAAAATGAGACTTTCTGCTCCCTCAAAAAGATTTAAAGCCTTGGAAACCCTATACAAGGTCACTATGAGTCAAAACTAATTCCACAGCACTTAACAACAACATAATTTTTTAAAATCCAAGATAAGCAGTGGGTTGCTAACTGCAAGATCAGTGATTCAGACCCACCAGCCACACCTTGGAAACCTACCTATACATGGTTGCTGAGTTGGAACAGGCTTGAGGGAACTTAGCAACAACAAATTTCTCTACAAAAACATAATTCTGTCTGCATAATGTGGGCTAAAATTTCTGATAATTGAACTTTCATTATTTTTCAGACCTTTTTTCCAAATACAAAAATATATATGTTAATGACCCAAGCTATGGTATTTTCAATAACCTCACATGTATGGTAAAGTTGGATAGTGAATAAGGAAGACTGGAGAAGAACTAATGCACTTGAATTATGGGGCTGGAGGAGAGTATTAAAAGTACAACGGACTTTCAAAAGAACAAATAAATCTGTGCTGGAAGAAATATAACCAGAATGCTCCTTAGAAGCCAAGGTGGCCAGACTTCGTCTCTCATTCTTTGGAAATATTATCAGGAGGGACCCGTCCTTGGAAGAACATAAAGCTTGGTAAACTGAGGGTCAGCATTAAAGAGAGAACCCCCCAGTGACATCGAATGGCACAGTGACAGCAGCAATGCTCTTAAGTGCAGCAGTAATTGTGAGGAGAGTGCAGAACAGTACAATGTTTCTTTCTGTTGTGCACAGAGTCTCTATGGGTCGGAAGTGGCTGGATGGCACCTAACAACAACATATATTAAGCTTTTGTAACTTAAAAAACAAACATGTTTTAAGATGCATCTATTTTGTAGCATTTATCAGCACCACATTTTTTTAACCAAAAATTATTCCATCATATGGACATATGTAGTCATCAAGTTCCAATATTCTAGGACTATCTGACAGTGTTCCACTGCTATTCATAAGGTTTTCAGTGACTTAATATTCCTAAGTATTCCGTCTCTCCTTCTAGTATGCCTTAGTCTAGAATCTCAGCTGAAACCTGTCCACCATGGGTGACCCTGTTTGCATTTAAAATACTGGTGACAGTTTCCAGAATCATAGCAACACACAAGCCACCACAGTATGACATACTGACAGATGAGTGGTAGTTGACAAATGTATGCTACTGTGTGTGTGTGTATATTCCTTTCATTTTCTTTTATTTGTGAAGTTCATCTAATTTTTGTGCAAAATTTGATTCATTTTAATGGATGGTAATCCATTGTACTGATGCATTGATACCTCAGTCTGTTCTTCTGATGGCATTTAGATTTTTTCCAAGGTTTTATTACTTCAGAAAATAATTTTAAATATGTTGCAAAGAACATGCCATCTCCCTATATACGATGCAAGTGTTTCTCTGGAATATAACACTTAGTAATGAAAACACGTCTGGTGTGGTGCTGTAGGATAAGCACTGGACTGCTAACTACAAGTCAGTGGTTCAAAACCACCAACTGCTCCACAGAAACCCTATACAGGGTCACTCTAAGTTGAAACCAACTGCATGGCAAATAGCAGCATTATCGAAAATAATAAGTTACATGATATGCAAATCTTAAACATTAGTAGATACAGACAGACACAATACTTTCCAAAGCAGTTGTCAATTCCCAATTTACATTCCCACTAGCAGATAGAATTCTACAATACCAAGTATCCAAAGAGCCACACGAATTCTGTCTACTAGTGGGAATGTAAATTGGGAACTGACAACTACTTTTCCACGAACTTTTTGAAGCTCCCTTAGTACTTCACATTCATATTATAACTCCATTAAATGGGAACAAAATAGGGATGATGAAAGGACATAAGAAAATCAAAAAAGGAAAGTGTTAACCATTAAAAGGGAAAAAAAAAATCACAGAATATGTAGGTTGTGCAGAAAAACGGGGAACAAGTATAAATAATCTCAGTAGCTAAGCCTTTTGTTTTCTAATTTTAACTGAGCTTGCAACTCTCTGCTTATTGTTTTAAAAACTCTTCTTTTTCTTGAAACCATTAGTGGCTCAGTAAAATCGGAGACCTAGGTAGTGGAGGATAGATTATTCTTCAGTTATAACATACTCTGGTCTCAAAAGAACCATTGACTAATTCAGCTTGAATTCAAGTCTGATTTGTTTTTGAAATGCTTTAATACCTGGTGTGCTGCAGAAATAAGCACTGGACTTCTAACTGCAAGGTTGGTGGTTCAACTTACCAGCTGCTACTTGGAAACCCTATAAGGGTTGCTATGAGTGAGAACTGGCTTGCTTGGTGGAACTCAGCAACAATACCCTAAAGTGGCCCTGATGGCATGGTGGATTAGGTGTTGAGATGGTAATTGCAAAGTTAGCAGTTCAAATCCACTAGCTGCTCCAGTGAGGTTGTCTGCTCCTATAAAGATTTAGAGTCTTGTAGTGTAGTGGTTACGAATCGGGCTGCGAATCTTAAGGTCAGCAGTTTGAACCTACCAGCTATCCACAGGAGAAAGATGAGGCTTTCTGCTCCCGTAAAGATTTACAGCCTCGGAAACCCTGTACAGAGTCACTATGAGTCAGAGCTGACTTCACTACACACAGCCACCACCACCACCATTAAATAGGGTCACCAAGAGTCTGAATTGACTCGATAGCAGTAGGCTTTACGAATTTATTTCACTTAATGAATATTTGTTAAATGGCAATTACTCTGATACTGAGATCAATTAATCTGCATTTTCTATTCGTGCTCCATACTGTTAAAAAAAAAATGAACATAATTAAAAATGTTTATTTCATAAGTACGGGAGTAAATAGATCTGCAATGTTTTCATTAATTACCAATACTTCTTTAAATCATTAGCATTTCTATTAAGTGAGGGGGGAAAATCCCAAGATTGTGCTGTAAAGATGATTTGAACATTGATTCTGAAAGACCAAAGCTCACCTTACTGACACCGACTTCAGGGATCCGAAGAGTGTGCTCCATATCCTTTTCTCTGCAGAGTTAAGTAAACCGTTTTCATCATTTTTACAGCATTTCCATGCCACATACAGAGTGACACAGAAAGAATTGATAAAAAAACAAAAACAATAATGTTAAAACTCAAGCGGCTACTCTGGTGAATATCCTAGCTATTGGTTATCTAGTTTCCTAACACTCTAACGTTCCTGTTTGAAAGGGTGTTCCATTTAGCTCAGTCTAATTAGTAATCAGTGGACACACAATGTCCTCTGTATTCATGTCATTTTTCCAGATTGTTGAATATGTTCCTATTTCTCTTACCACATGTGAAAGGAACATACTACCCTCCAATAACTTAAATTAAGACATGGTATAGAATCTGAATTAGATGTAGGTTAGATTTATCTTTCCCACTAGGAAGAAAGGCATCATCCTACTCATGATTAAAGCTTGCCTCTATCAAGGCTGACTGTCATTTACAAAGGAGGCAAAATAAAAGAAACCAAGTCTAAGTTTAGGTCAGTAACCTAAGTCTGGACAGGACAGGATAACAACATCTCTATGGTAGGATCACCACCAAGGTCTGTTCTCTTCAGGCAGGTTTTCATCTGAGGACTATCCAGACATACACTAGAGTGACCTCCCAAAGCAAGTGATGAGACGTAGATGTCAACAACATTTTTTGTGTGGGTGAGGGATACAGGATGTCACTGTCCTTTTTTGCCTATTCAACAAGTATTGTGCACATTTTAAGGTAAGAACTTAAAAAACTTAGAATTAACTTACTGGAAAAGACACATATATAAACAAACAAGCTAATACAATAAGTCATTTATGAAAATTTCAGGATGTTTGAAGAATTGCAGAGCCTTCAAAAATCCATGGAAAATGGAAGGAAAGATAATGGAATTGTTCCATGAACTTTCTGAAGCCCCACAGTATGAAAAAGACAGTAACACAATCAGTGCCTTCCACTCCACAAAGTACTTTGATTCCTGAGTTTGTTTCAAGCTTTCAATGAAGTAGTTATTACTATCTCCTGAATAATGAGATTTCGTTTCTGACATCTCTATGGAAGGATCACCACCAAGGTCTGTTCTCTTCACACAGGCAGGTTTTCATCTGTGACATTTCAGTGTCTGAAATGTCACAGAAAAGGTAGCACTAGAGATAGGTCTTAAAGGTGAGTGCAAGGATGAATACAACTTTGCATGAAAGCTCTGAGGTAAGAGATTTCTTGCAGGAGAAATGCTATGAACGGGTACACGGGCAGTAAAGTACAGGTTCTGGAGCCCAAGTTCATGTAAATCAAGGGCTGATACACTAGTACACACTGGTCAAACTATGCCAAGTCTGTTTTTATAAAGCAAGTTTTCTGAGGCATGTGGACATGCCCATTACATACTGTTTATCTGGCCCTGTAAGAGAAATCTACTGATGTCTGAAGTAGATGACAGAAGTCTAGTATGTTGAAACCAGAGTCTGGAGAGACTTGAATGCAGGGTAAAGAAGTTAGATATACATTAGGCTACAGAGAATCACTGAATGATTTTGGAAAAATAACACAGACTAAGGGCTATGCTTATAGCAAGAGGAATCTGGAGGCACTATATGACATGAACACATCAGAGGGTAAAGAAATCAGGAGACCAATTAGGAAGTTACTAAGAGTCCATCCTTAAAGAAGAGATGAACTAGGATGGTGCTAACAGGGACTGAAAGCAAAGACTAAGATAAGAGAGACTAGCTGTAGGGGATCATGGAAGTCAAAGACGACTGATTGTTGTTGTTGTTGTTAAGTGCCATCGAGTCGGTTCCGACCCATGGCGACCGCTGATAGGAGATGGTAAATACACTTTACCTTGCATGACAATTTTAATAAAATTCTGACTACAGATTTATATGTAAATCATTATTAGCTCTAATACTGTGTACGGTCTGAAATTTGCCAGCGAGGAAAACTTTAAGATAAAATTTAGGTGTCTCCTACACAGATAAAGACAGAAAATAAGACAATACATGTAAAGAAAGAAAGGGACAAAGGAGAGAGGGTTCATGTTGTCTCCCTGCCCTAAAGCCATCCTTCAAACTGACACCAGAAAACAGTTTGAAGTGATCAGGTTACCTATCAGCCTTCAGTTTAGAGCACCTTCAATGGTACTACAATACCTAAGGGATATAATCTACATTCTTCAGATGGCACAGAAGGCTCCCAACAATCTATGCCCAACCCATCATTGCAGCCTCATCTTCATAAATTATTTGGGATGTGCCCTAGACTTCAGTCACATCAAACTATTCAAGCTAACTACACATGACATACCTCTTTGTCGCTACATCTTTACACAAGCTCCTGCCTAAAAATTGACAAGTCAGCCTTCAAGATGCTGCTCCATCATCAGCTCTTACAGGCTTCCCAGTTACCTGTTTCCAACCACCAGCCTGTAAATCTTCACGTGAGCCCATGAGTACTCATGTACACTTCTACTACAGTGTATTCACACAGTAATTATTGAACATTTCATTCCCTTTCACACTGTGCTTTCTGTAGACAGAGATCGCCCTAGTCCTCTTCGTATCCCTAGCACATTGAACAACATTTAACAAACAGATGCTCAATAAAGTCTTTTAAAAAGAATGCGTTAATATTAACCATTTTTACCTTCCAATTGTAGCAGGGTTTACAGCTGTAATGATAAAAAGTGATCCTATCTGCAGCACTGGTGATCTAATAACAATTACTCTGATACATGGGGGCCAAATTTTTTCTTCATCTGCCAGAGAAAGAAATGGATAAACATTAATTAAAATGCTATGCTAAATAATAATCATAATAATAATGTTTAGGGTTAACTAAGAGGCATCTATAAGGGAGGCAATACACTGATCAAACCTTAACTCTGACTAAAATAAACTTTCCTAACTTCTGCTATATACACAATGAATAAGGTATAGTTTAAGTAATCAATGTAAGGGTATTCAGCATATTCAGCATCTATCAGTTATATAATAATTACCTATTTTTTAAGGTCTTAGAATTTGAAAATATCCCACACAAACATATTTTAAATTACTTTAGGTATGAAATCTTAAGTCTATTCTTAGAAAAAGTGAAAAAGAAAAATCTGTTAAGAGCAAAAGAAGCTCATATATTATGAACTCCTGTTTTTATAAAATGTTCCCTTTATATCTTCAAGAAAGAAAAAAAAATAGATTATATTAATAGTTATGTTTCTGAATCATGAGCTTCACTTTTAAAGGCAACCAACTTCCCCCCTGGGTGTGGTGCTGTAGGACCGGTAAACTACAAGGTCAGTAGTTCAAACCCATTAGCCACTCCTTGGAAACTCTACACAGGATCGCTAAGAGTCACAACTGACTTGATGACACTTAAAAACAACAAAACATACTTACCAGTATACTTTAGGATTACTACATAGGTAGTTTGGTTTTGTGGTCCAATGACTAGGCCATTCAATGCAATAAAACTTTCTTCAGGTCCAAGTATTAGTCAATTATTCATATTCTATTTTCTAAAAGTAACTGAATGGTAGCCCACATCATTTCCAGTAAGTCATTAAAACAATTTAAAATTGTTCTAATTGAAATTACTTTTCTGTAGCTATGCTGCATGAGTCACTAACATTTTTAAATTACCTTGCTGTTTCATCATTACAGACTGGGTGACGTATTTGAAATTACACATGGTCATGTCCTCACCTTCATCCTCAGTGTTTTCTGCAGAGACACTACCTTCACTGGTAACATCTTCTTCATAGCTGTCCTCGGTCTGAGAGTCTGTAATCTCACCTTCTTCTGGCTCACTATCAGTCTCTAGGATTTTCTCATCTCTAAATGGTGAATTATATGTATTTTCATTACAAGAAGGTTCCACAGTGCTTCCACTAACTGGAACAGTAAAATGTGGAGAACTACTTTTGCAGTGAATGTCTCTTTTGGATTTCTTTTTCACATTTGCAAAGTCTTCTCCCTCATTGCAGTTTATATGCTCAACACTGGATGTGCTTTGATCTTCTACATTCAAATCCTGGAAAAAGGTCAGTGGGAACAGGGGAGAATGAGTTTAAACATCATTTTATAATATTCCCCTTTACGTATTATAATAAATTAATGAAAAAAGTTAGGAAATAGAATTATGACAAATCAAGTGTGTAGTGAGTGGTTCTGAAGAATTCGCACAAATTCTGTGACACTGCCTTTACGGAAAGGTGGGGTCTATAATCCCCTCTCCTTCAGTCTGGGCCAGCCGACCTCAGTGATTCACTTGGAACACAAATGAAGCTGCATAAAGTCCTGGACTCAGTCAGGAAAGGTCATGTTGCTCCTGCTTGGTTTCTTTGAGATGCTTCTTCTGAAGGAAGCCAGTCACCAGGTACGAAGCCTGGCTCTCTGAGACTGCCATGCTTGAGCGGTTCTATGTGAGCTTACGACTGACAGTCCAGCTTGGCTCCTAGCAATGGCCGACATCAGTCACCAGCCACTTTGGCAAGCTAGTGCAATTGTACCTTCAGAGAACAGCAGCCCCAGCTGACACCTGACTATACCCACCTGAGACCCCTCCCAAGTAAGAATTGCCAATATCCCTGCTTCATAAATTAATTTAAAAAAAAGCAAGATAAGGAAGGCCTATATGATCTCTCACTTTTCACAGCTACCTCTAAGGTTTCTCAGGAAATTCTCAAAATTTCATCAGGATTGTTCTTGAGTTCCTGTACAAGGATTCACATATTTCCAGGGAAGACCGTGCAGATCAACAGTTATGGAAGCTAGTTATGTGCACCAAATAGTGAACACAATTTGACAGTTCCATCTTTCATTCTCTAATTTGAGAACTGCTATCTGCTCTTTTTCACACAGCTGTAGAGGAGTGCTTACCAATCTATTTTTTCAAACAAACAGTTGAACCACTAGTAGTAAGTTCAAGTCATTAAAACAGAGATATAAAAAGCAAACAGAAAACAATTGTTAGGATTTTACTCATAGACTATTCCATTCTTTACCATCCTGGTGTGGTGCTGTGGACTGTTAGGATTTTACTCATAGACTATTCCATTCTTTACCATCCTGGTGTGGTGCTGTGGACTGTTAGGATTTTACTCATAGACTATTCCATTCTTTACCATCCTGGTGTGGTGCTGTGGAATACAGCACTGGACTGCAGGTCTCTTTGAGTCACATGGTTGGCGGTTCAAACTCACCAGCTGTTCCTTGGAAGCCCCATACAGGGTCACCATGAATGGGAACTGACTTGATGGCACTAACAACAATAACCTACTTTTTTTTTTTTAGTTTTTATTGTGAATTGAGTGATAGTTTACATGGGAGAATATCAGTTTTACACTCATCGTTTCATTACAATGATTACAATCTCCTCTGTGATCATTCAACAGTATTTGCTTCCATTTCCTCTTGGGGGGGGGAGGGCAGGAAGTACACAAAACACTCAGGAGTATATAATAATTTAAACTCTGGTAACGCAGTGGTTACTAATCAGTCTGTGAATTGCAAGGTCAGCAGTTCGAAACTACCAGCTGTTCTGCGGGAGAAAGATGAGGCTTTCTGCTCCCGTAAAGATTTACAGCCTCGGAAACCCTGTACAGGTTTGCTATGAGTCAAAACTGACTCCACGGCATATAACAACAACAACAAAACAACCAAAGGGCATATTCTATAAGCCTGCCTCCTGGCCGCCAGCACTCAGTCTTTCTCTTTCCACGAGTCTAGAGTTCTCAGTGGCTTTCTCTCTCCATGTCCTCATCTCTGCCTCCATCTCTGATGTCACTGCTTCTCTGGATAGGGTCCCACATTCCGCTTGTGCTCTTCCCCTTTGATGATTCCTAGGGTCCTCGTTTCTGGACTGTAAGATTAATTACTCCCCCATTTTTGTTACAAAACTTCTAGTCTTACAATTGTGGCAGTTGCAATTAGTCATGGTAACAATTACTCACTGTTGAATCTTAGGAATCTTATCCCCATCTCTTTTCACCGGACCCATCTAGACAAGATGAAAACTATTCAGTGAGGACTCTACCTTTCCCTGCACACTCTTAAACTAAACTCCCTCTTGAAATCTTGTAAGCCAGTCACTTAATGCCTTTATTAGCCAATGTCTAAGTTGCCTGTCCCTATATACCCTGTATGCAGAGGGGATAGGACTGATTTTTGATGTGACGACTCCTTCCCTCTCTGTTGGTATTTTGAGCTACTACATCCATAAGTAAAGGTCAAGTTCATCAAATCTGTAGCAATCTACATTAACAACACTTTCTTAACCAGCATCTTAATAGCAATTTAAGTTTATTTTCATTGTTCTTATAAATATTGTTACTGTTGTTGTTGTTAAGTCCCATCGAGTTTGTTCTGACTCATAGCATCCCAGTATAGGTTATCTGAGGAGCAGCTGGTGAGTTCGAACTGCTGAGCTTATGGGTCAAACCAACCTTACAGTCCTGTGCTTATCCTACAGCGCCACACTAGGACACCAAATTTTGCTGTATCTCTATGAAAAGGTATTTTCCTTTCAGTTGAATTTTAAAACAGTGTAATGGAGCAAAGTATATGACTTGTTGAATGTAAAACTGATGATCTACCCTGTAAATTTCCAACTCACAATCAAAACTTAAAAAAAAAAAAAAAAAATGCAATTGCTAGAATGACATTTTCTAATTGAAGACTATGAATAGTTTTATATGTATTAAAAACTACAACCGAATCTGTTTTTTACAATGACTTCATCAGTGTTTGTGACTAGTTAAGAGGAATGCCCAAGCGACAGTGAAAGTGGTTCACTTCCTCGAGCTGCTAATGCAAAGCTGAAAAGTGTGAGCACATGCAGAGGTACCTCTTACGAAAGGGCTGGGAGTTACTGCTGAAAACTCAGCCAGGGAAGGCCCCTCCCATGTAGGAGAGGTCTGCTCTGGCACACACAGGGTTACACGAAGCTGACCTCAGGGTAACTGGTTTTCAAAAAGCAAGATACAGTTCATCTAAACTAAGGAAAGTTCGTATTTTTCTAAATCTATTTACAAATTGTTTTTCTTTTATTGTGAATTGTGCATGGATTTTGATTAACTAATTAAGGTTGTAATTTTTACGATGTTTTCCTTCCAAACGTTAAGAAATGCCTTTTAGTTTTAGTGATGGAAAATTTGAGAAAATGTCCACAGTTGCCCTATCTGAAGTCTCTTTGCTTGCTAGATTATGCTATATTGTTACCTTAGTGGACATATTTGAAATACAGATTTACCTAACGATTTTCAGTTCCATTAAAAATTTTAGCTTATCATGCTATCACCATTATATAACTTAAAAATTGTGAAGACATTACCTTCTCTTCATTTGTTGTAGAATCGGGATCTTTTCTTTTCTTCTTCAATTTTTTATCTTTATTTTGTTTTGTGCTAGAAGTCTGATAAGGTTGCAAATCTACTCGAGAATGAAATTGGTATCTACCACTTTCCACATCACAGTAGTAGTAAATTCCAGTGGAAGGATCATAATACAGTTGATTTTCCTTTCAAAGACAATGAAACAGTTAATTCCATTCATGTAAGATGAAATAAAATGGGGAAAAAAACAACTTAATAGAAGTACCAATTACATTAAATACAGAAAAAGGTTTTTTTGTTTTTTTTTTAAGAAATAAATTACTTTCTAAAAACACTGAAATAAAAATAACAATGAAAAATACTTGTAATTTTCCAATATTTTGCTGGATAGATATTTACTTGGTAAAGTTGAGGGCCAGCAAAAAAGACGATGACCACCAATGAGCTAGACTGACACAAGAGCTGTAATAATGGGCTTGAGCACAGCAATGACTGTGCACACGGGGCAGGACTGGCAGAGTTTTGTTCTGTTGTACGCAGGGTCCCTATGAGTCAAAATCAAAATCAACTCAATAGCACCTAACACCAGTAACAACAGTCCACTCTTCTAAATATTAAAACTGAATCATATGAAAATGTTTTTTGAAATTTTTTTATTTCATATAACTTAATACATTAGCAAAAACGATGACTACAAACCTTTTGAATGCAGGAAAACGAGGGCAAGTATTTAAAAACCTGACCATATATAAACAGTTCTAGATTCGTTATCCTTAATGATTACAAAAGAATACACCTCTCAATGTCATAAAACAAGGGTTTGCCTTTCATATTCATTACTAAAAGTCACTAAAGAAAAATCTGAAAATAAACTTATGCTTAAAAATATCATAATATAGTGCATTCTATACAAAGAAATCAATAAACAGTTGTTCTTACTAATTAATTCTACAGCAGAATAAAAAAGACTTATGAGTAAAGCAGCCATGCGAAAATGAATTTGGGCAAACTATACACTATAAATTAGATGGATAAAATTATGTAATCACCTGCATTTACCACTGATCAGTACTCTATAATGGAGATTTAACTGTACATTTTACGCATTATTTATATCATAAATCCATCCAGACCAGACCTGGTAACATCTTAGATATACTAAGACTGAGCAACTGTAACTTCCTCAACGAGAATAATTTCTTCTTAGAACTGGTGATACTACTGTAGTTCATTCTCTTTAGTCCATCCATTTTCGTGTCTCTCTGACAAGCATATTTTACATTCTCACTAGCTTTTCTAACTAAGAAACTGAATGGAAGATTCCATTCTTATTTCTAGTGATAATGGAAGTTTTATACCACAAGCCTCCTTAATCTGTTATGTCTGACAGAAAACAGACATTTTCACAAATACAAGAAATTTTTTTACTTAATTAAAATAAAAATCAGCATAATTAAAAATGACAAGACCAATGAAATCCTCAATTTACTAGGATTATAACCTCCAGAATGGACTAAGCCTTTACAGAGTAGATGTCAGAAGGAACAATACAGAAAGCAAGGTAGAAGGATGATGAAGAATAACGTCATGTACTTGAAATTTTTGATTTTTCTTGGATACCAACTAAGGAAGAGCTACTCACTTTGGAGGGAAGAGTTTAAACATTATTTTTTTAGTATTAACTAGCATTCTAAATTAGCGACTTTCTGTGAGAGAAAAACTCTCTTCAAACAGGGTTAATAACAAAAGTTTACGCCTTGCTGGGATCTCTGGGAGAGCAAAACCAGGGTTTTGCGTTCATAAAATCCTACTATCTTTTATTTCTATTTTTCCACAAACATTCTGAAATCCCTTATGAAGAGATTATCTTCTTCCAAGGAAATGGCTCACATAGCTGTGGAGGCTAGCAAGTGCCAAATCTGTGAATCAGGCATCAAACTGGAGTTTGCACCTGACTCACATCATTGCAGGGGCTGAACCAGAGTCAATAGTTCAGAGGGCAGGCCACTGGCTCACAGGCTGTGGTAACTGGTAAATCCCCCCCAAAAGGTAGGCTGCTGGCTCACATCTCAAATAAAGGCTGGAAGATGACAAGCTGGATGCAGGATTGAGAGCGCAAGCTTTGTGAGAACATCCCTATGTATTAGAAGTAGGCCACTATCCTAAGGAAGCTCCCCTCTGAACTGACTGGCTGTTCACTGGAGGATGATTACATATCTGCCCAACCACTGACAATCATGGTCCAGTTAAGTTCCATATAACCTTAACCATCATAGTCCAAGCCCAGCTACCTAGCACTTACACATCTCCTTAAACCATATATAAAGTCTAAATAAAATGACACAACCATCTTATATTTTATAACAAGTAATGTAATAGGGCACTTAACAACAATAACAATGGAATAGGGAAGGCAAAAAAAGGATATTATATATATATATATACCCACTCCTAACATATCAACATGCTTAGGTTCTAAAAAGCTAAAAAGATCCGGTCACCTTGCAAACATCAATGGTAAGCAAAAACAGAGGATAACCACATCAGATCACAAAGTAGAGGAAGATCACATCATTAGAAGCTGCCAAATCACTGAAAATCATGGACTAGCCAAGCTGACACACAACTAGAACCGTTCCAGCCAGGATTACTCTTGCCAAACACCCTGACATTTGTTACTGCCAGACATGCATCATACTCAAAATATGATACTTTTTTTTTTTTTAAACTATTGACGTAAGTACAAAATGTTAGGTAACGAGATAATATTAGTAAGTGAAGAGTAGATGTGTTTATGCTGTGTTTACGCAGGCATATGCTTATTACAAAACACGGATGAAATACTGCAACTGGTCACATGGTTGTACACCTTCTTATGCCACCCAATCCATATGCCCTTTGCCTTCTGCAAGCACGTCAACCGGTCATAGTTTTCTGCCTGGTGAGATGACCTCCAGGTGAATGTTGTTAAGTGCCACTGAGTCGATTCCAACCCACAGCAACTCTGTATAGGGTTTCCAAGGAGCAGCTGGTGAGCTTCAACCGCTCACCTTAAGGTTCAAAGCAACTTTGCAGTATAGCGCATTATCCCACAACGCCATACCAAGACTCTGGTTTGCTGTAGTTTCCATTAACTTTAATCTCAGGGCATGGTAGGACTAAAAGAAACCCTAAGGGATCCCCCTGGATACCAGGTATACTCTTCTGTACCATTATACAGTACCAATCTAATTTCTCCTTTATAATCAGGAACAATCACACCACCAATACCTAACTCCCTTCTCTGCCTGTTGATCCAAAGGCATGAAGAGCCCACAGTGGCTGGGTAGTAGTCTTAACTTCAGTTCAATGAAATCAGTGTTGTGTCTCCTGGTGGGAGCATCCCTTCTTTCCCATTCGAATTAAGAACACTAGACTCAGAGAGCATAAGGCCACAGGGGCAGGAAGAAAATTGTGCACAGTGGGCCACTAGAAGTAACAGTGATTGGTGCCACTCCATTTCCAGCCTTTGATTCCAGAAACCACAAGTCCAAGGTATGGAAGAAATATCACTATACATTAGACTCTGGTTGAGAGGATACACAGTCTGCTGAAGACACTGCTCCAACCCTACAAGGCATTGCCACCTAACTGTACACAGTTGTGTCTTTAGAAGGCCACCCCATCATTCTAATCAAGGCAGCTGCTTCAAGATGATGGGGAACATAGTGAGACCCGTGAATTCCATGAGCGTGGGCCCATTGCTGCATTTTGTTTGCTGTCATGTGAATTCCTTGATCCAAGATGGTGCTGCGTAGGATACTATAATGGTGGATAAAGCATTTTATTCGTCCAAGGATGGTAATTTTGGCAGAAGCACTGTGTTTAAGGGAGGAAAATCCATATCCAGAGTTAAGTGTTTATTTCAGCAAGAAAAAAGCCTTGCCCTTCTTACGACAGAAGTGGCCCAGTGTAATCAACCTGACATCAGTTTGCTGGTTGACCACTCCTAGGAATGGTGCCATACTGGGGACTTAGTATTGGGTCTCTGATGTTGGCAGATTGGGCACTTAGCAGTGGCTATAACCAGGTGGGCTTTTATGAGTGGAAGTCCATGTGCTGAGCCCATCCATGAATAGCTTCCATCCCTGTCGCCATGGCCACATGTTCATGGGCAATGACAGCAGCAGCTGAGGAAAGAGAATGGCTGGTTTCCACAGACTCTATCCCCATGCCTCCTTCCTCTTCCCCATACCTCCTTGTCACTAATTTTCTAATCATGTTTCTTCGATGTCCCAAACCACTGGCCACAGCCCATGAATCAGTATACAATCACACATCTGGCTATCATTTCTTCCAAGCAAAATGAACCAGTTATTTTTGAGAACTTCTCAAATTTCTGCTGAGAGGATTTCCTTTCACCACTATCCTTTGGCAATGGGGGGTGGGGTGGGGTGGGGTGGGGAGAGGCAGTTCTGCTGTTGTCTACTTCCAAAGCATGCCTGTTATCAGACAAAGCCATCTGTAAACCAGGCAAGAGTTTTCTCTTTAGGATTGTAAGCAACTCCCCATGAGGCTATAGGTACAGATTGGGAGAAGAAAGGTAATATGACAGGAGTGGGTGCCATGGGCATTTGGGCCATGACCTCATGTAACTTACCTGTGCCTTCAGATCCTGCTAGAGCCCAACCTTGTACAGACCACTTCCATTAGTAAGAGTGCTGATGTATATGGCCAAGTTTACAACTCTGAGCCAGACAATATTTACTTCATGATTGGAAGCTGATGCTATATACTGACTTGGTGGCCCATGGTTAGTTATTCAGTCTCTACTAAGGCCGAATAAAAAGCCAAAAAACTTTTTCAAAAAGAGAGTAATTGTCTTAAGAGAATGGCAGAACTTTGCTCCAAATTCCTAAAGATCTGTACTGTGATTCACCATTAGGGACCTGCCAAAGTGGCACTGTGGGATGGTGAGCTGGACTGCAAGATCAATTTGAACTGCAAGGTCAGTGGTTCAAGCTCACCAGCTGCTCCTCAAAAACCCTATACATGGTCACTATGAGTTAGAACTGACTTGCAGGCACTTAACAAAGACTAAGTAGCATCTTTATCTGTCACTGACACTTCAAGAGCCATTGGATCAGCTGGATCATATGGCTCAAGTGGCAGAGTGGATTGCAAGGCAGCCTGAAGCTACTGCAGAGTCTTCTCTTGTCCTGGGTCCCATTCAAAACTAGAAGCTTTTCAAGTCAGTTGACAAATGGGACAGAGTAGCATACCCAAATGAGGGATGTTGCCTCCAAAATCCAAAGAGGTCCATCAAGTGTTGTGCCTTTTCAGTTGGAGGGGCCATATGTAACAACTTATCCTTCATTTTAGAAGGAATACCTAAACATACTCCCTGTGCCCCACCACTAGACCCCTAGAAATTTCACTGAGGCAGAAGACACCTGTACATCTGTCAGATTAATTTCCCATCCTCTAGCATGCAAATGTCTTACCAATAAGTCGAGTCATTGATACTTCTTCCTTACTAGGTCCAATCAGCATAACGTCGTCAATGTAATGAACCAGTGTGATGTCTTGTGGAAGGGAAAGGCGATCAAGGTCCCTGTGGACTAAATTATGACATAGGGCTGGAAAGTTGATACACCTTTGAATAAGGGCTGCTAAACCAAGGTCAGCAGTTCAAACCCACCAGCTGTTCTGTGGGAGGAAGGAGACCGTTCCTGTGCAGATTTCGTCTCAGAAGCTCTACATAGGGTCACTAACTGTCAGAATCAACTTGATGGCAGTGGGCTATAAGGACAGTGACGGTGCACTGCTGGCCTGGCCAGCTTAAGGCAAACTACTCTGGTATTTCCTTGAAACCAAAATCGAGAAAAAGACATTGCTGGATCAATAGCTGATTACCAAAACAAAAAACCAAACCCACTGCCGTTGAGTTGATTTCAACTCCTAGCGACTCTATAGGACAGAGTAGAACCACTCTACAGAATTTCAGAAGTAGTAAATCTTTCTCCTGCAGAACGGCTGGTGGGTTCGAACTGCCCACCTTTTAGTTAGCAGCCCAAAACTTAACCCACTATGTCACAAGGTACCAGACGTATTATCTGCTCAAGCTATGAAACCACATCTGGAACAGCAACTACAACTGGAGTCGCCACCTGGTTAAGTCTACCGTCATTTTCAAACATACATGTTTTTTGGCACAGGTCAAATAGGCTAGTGAAATGCAGATTTTGTTAGGAATCCCCACCCTTGCATCTTTTATAAGTGGTGACACTAACCTCTGCAATCACTTCAGGAATGTCAGACTACTTTGGGTTTACTCTTTTCCTAGCTAGGAGCAGTTCTATCGCCTTCCACTGGCTTTTTGTATCTTAATAACCCTTACTCCACAGGTCAGTGATACAATGAGGTTCTATCATTGCCGAGCATGTTGACTCCAATTATGCATTCTGGAACAGGAAATCACTACCAGATGGGTTCAGTGACCCACTGTGAGATGAAACAGAGCTAAGACTCCACTAATAAATAACCTGATTTCCTGATGTCTCTACTCTGGTGGACCACAGTGATGTTTTGGGTGTCCTGGAATTAGTGTCAGTTCAGAGCCAGTGTCCAGTAATCCCTGAGAAGTCTGATTATTTCCTTTTCCTCAATGAGTAGTCACTTTGCTTTTGGGGAAGGGAAAAAGAAAGATTTACAATATAAATTTTGGGCAATGCAGTGGGGTCCTTACTCAAGGGGACCCAACATTCTCTTTAAACTGGATCAAGTCTGGGAACTGAATGAGTTCACTTTACCTAGAATTCTTCTACTTGTACAGATCAAATAATTATGAGGGGGCTTCAAAATGTTTGTGGAATAACGAAATTTAAAGATACTGAAATTTTGCCATGAACTTCTCCATCCGTCTCATTAAGTGCCTTCTTCTTCGTTGACTGTCTACTTTATCAAGTATGATTTCTTTCTTCAGGGACTGGTCCCTTCTGATAACCTGTACATGAGATGAAGTCTTGCCATCCCACTTCTAAAGAGAATTCCGGCTGTATGCACTGAATGATTTACTTTAAGGAAATGGCTCACGCTAGTGCGGAGACTGGCGAGATCCAAATCCATGGGTCAAGCATGAAACTGGAGGTTTCCCCTAACTCAAATGGCTATAAGGACTAATAACACCAAAAGCTAGCAGCTCAGACTGCAGGCTGCTAGCACATGTAGTTGCAGGAGCCAGAGAACCCCAAACTTTGCAGATCAGATGGTAGGTTGCTAGCTTACAGTTCAAGAATCAAAGGCCAAAGGATGATGAGCCAATTGCAGGCTTGAAAGGGTGGCTATGCTGGAGCATCCATATATACTGGATATAGGCCACCACCCCAAGGAAACTCCCTTTTCAACTGAATGGTTGCTCACATCAGATCACATAATGAAGGATTATATAATATCTACCAATGAGAATCATGACCTAACCAAAATCAAAATGAAACTGTAACAATCAGTCTACCAACCACAGATTCTGAAGCTGAAGACATCCTTTATCTTAACTAAGATTATAATCACCTTGTTCCCCAGATTAACACTGTTTCCAATAGTTGGAATGAGCACTACATACACGTTTTAAATCTCCCAAGGACCAGTTCACATTCTAATACACTTCAGGTATGTACAAAAGTTCCATCATCATCATAAATTCTAGCGTAAAACCCAATTAAAGTTACGACTTTAGCAGTCATAACACTGCAATCATAAATAAATCAAGAACTTTGTTTTCTGATTCTGTCCTAATCAACGGTCCATTATACTTCTGATTCTATATTAAACCACCAATTGTCACTGCTAATAGATTGATTTAAAAAAGAAATGCTTAAAGCCATGGACTATAAAACACTAATAATAAACATGCTACTAAGAGTTCAAGAAAAAGACTCCCTTTGTAGCATCAAATACATTTGAAAGATAAATAACAAAAAAATCTTTTTTCTAAAAATATTGCTTTCTTTAAATTCTGTGAAAAATATTAGTTTAGGCTTTAAATTTTTTTACTGCATTTACAAAAATGAGGTCAGATATCTCTTTTATAAGTCTAACATTCTAAGGTTACTTATCTATAAAAAGTGATTCCAAACCAAAAAAACTCCACTGCCGTCAAGTAGATCTCATCTCATAGCAACCCTATAGAACAAAGCAGAACTACTCCATAGGGTCTTCTAGGTTGTTTCCCAGGCAGCTATGCAAAGGCATCTTTATGGGCGCAGACTGCTACATCTGTTTCCCACAAAGCAAGTAGTGGACTTGAAACTGCTGGTTAGCATCTGAGCACTTAACCACCGAAGCTACCAGGGTACCTAAAAATTATTAGATCACTCTAAAACACTGATCTATAATCATCACAATGAACAATTTACCTTATTTAATAAAATCTTAAAAATACAGCAGCATAGGCTATTTTACAATTCTTTGTGCTTATCACATAAATAGGAATCTCAGTTTTAAAATATAGTTTCTTGTCTTTTTAACTCAGATTAGGACTTCATATTTGGTATCAAGCAGTCAGCTACATTGCCATAAGGTCTGAGATACTTACAGAATCATAGTAGAAACCAGTGCTGTGGTCGAAATATAACCCAGTATTCTCATCGTAACTAAATCCAGTCTGTGATACAGCAGCTTCTGCTGCTGCTCTCAAACTCTCAGCTAGTGATGAACCTTCTAAAGATGCATCTTCAGTTGCTAACGCACACGCTGACTCCTAAGTAAGATACACTCATGAGAAGCAAGAAAAAAGCTCTGGACAGCCATTTAAAAGTTAGAATTCTGAACAATAAACAATCTATATTTAAATTAGACGTCAATGTCTATAATGGAAAAGGGTGGTTACTGATTACAATTTGACCCATTTAAAAAAAATTTTACTAGCATGATTTCATAATTCAATTTTAATCTACTTTCCAAGACAATAAAAGTTAGCAAGTGATATTTCAAAAGTAAACCATAAAAAAGACCCTGAAAAATTCTATATAAGACCAACGATCTAGATTCTACAATAGTTAACTGTTCAAAAGGAAATAATAAAAACATTAAAAAGAAGGAAGGAAAACCTAAAGATTAAGTGCTGTAGCACACTGGTATGCACTGGACTGCGAACCACAAGGTCAGCAATTCAAATCCATCAGCTGCTCCTCAGAAAACCTATACAGGGTCGCTATGAGTCAGAACCAATTTGATGTTAACAACAACAGCAACAAGTACACATTGATCAATTAATACTGTATGGACTTTAATGAGATCTCTGCTCAAACTCTAAAAAAACAAAGTGATGAAACAATCAGGGAAATGTGAACAATAACAAGATATGTGATATAAAGGAAATGTCAAAAATATTAGGTGTGAAATGGTATTTGTGTTTAAGAAATCCTTATATTTTCACATACACAAAAATTCTTTAGCACTCATATGCTCCATAGCGTAGTGATTACGAATCGGGCTGTGAACCGAAAGGTCACCAGTTCGAAACTACCAGCTGTTCCGCGGGAGAAAGATGAGGCGTTCTGCTCCCGTAAAGATTTCCAGCCTCGGAAACCCTGTACAGGGTCGCTATGAGTCGGAATCGACTCCACGGCAATTTACAACAACAATATGCTCCTAAGATTTGATTAAAATAACATGGAGATGGGGAAAATGAATGGGAATATCAATTAAAGAAAGTTGAGTTAATTAGCATAGATGTGGGTTCACTATACTATTTATTCTACTTTGGTATATGCTTAAAATTGTCCACAATCAGAGTTCCTTTGGAATGTAACATCACCATAACAGACATCTACTACCGACTGCAGTTAACAATTCACAGATTCTGAAGGAAAAACAATGAACATAGATATTATCAATAAAAAAATACATTACTGATGCTAAGTGCCGTGGAGTCCATTCTGACCCATAGCGACCCCGTATCGGTCTCTACGGAACAACTGGTAGATTTAAAACAAAGACCTTGCAGGCAGCAGGTCTACCGTTTATCCTACAGAGCCACACCAGGACTTAAATAACAAACAAATTTGTCTATTTTAAGATTTCATTTTACTTCTAGGCAAAAGTACTCATCGTCTTTGGCCACTTATCCAAAGTTCTTTTGCTAATTTGAAGTCAAAATGTCTTATGTACACATTTTTTTGTTGTAGTTTATGTATATCATATGCAGTTTTGAAACAAAACAGAGAAGGAAAACAATTATATATATGAACATGTTCTAGTCTTTGTTTCTCAAAGACTGTAATATTCTTATATGGGAGCACGGTGGCTCTGTACACTGAGCACTAGACTGCAAACCACAAGGCTAATGGTTTGAGCCCACCAGCTATTCTGGAGAAGGATGAGGCTTTCTGTTCCAGCAAAGATTTACAGCCTAAGAAATCCTATATCGGGTCACTATGAATAGGAACCAACTCGACAGCACTTAACAACAACAAAGTATATATATGAGTGTTTAAAATCCTTATATGTATGTTCTGATATACCAAAGTCTATTTTCCTATATAATAAAAACAACTAAGAAGGACAAAAGTAATCTTTTTCTACATAATAGAACCAACAAAAGACAAGTAGTTAGGCATCAGTAGTTTCATGTTTTAATACTTTATTACCTGTGAATTGGCGACGAAATGGTCTTCTTGTCTACCTTCAACCTTTTCTGTTATATTAGTGCCAGTGTAAGCATCATTTTCTATTTGTGACTGGTCTTTAGAATTGAAAGAAGCTTCAGTATCCTGACTTTGTTGAACTGAGAACTCAGTTGTTTTATTTAGAAGACTAACATCCTTATAGTATGTTTGATAATAATAATCTGTAGCAAAGACAAAGTAATATTACATTAGAATACTTTATAAATATGGAATTAATTTTTAAAACTTTCGACTAAACACAAAACAACACAAACTTCAAATATATCAGGATTTGGTGTGGCATTGGAGGATCAGCACTGGACTCAGAAACACAGGTAGGCAGGTCAAGCCATCAGCTGCTCCTCAGAAACCCTATACCAGGCCGCTATGAGTCGGAACCAACTTGACAGCACTTAACAACAATAAAACACTTTAAAAGATTAAAACTGGTGGTACAGATAAATCTGCAGAAATATGTATTGTTGATTGTAACATCACTGTGTTCACTATCCAAGTTCAATTTTTTTTTTTTTAAATCTGCAATGCTCTAAATCTTCTAACCACATGCCTTAATATTGCTACATATCAACTTGAAATAAAGGTATCGGGATCGATTCTTCTCTCAAATTTCTTTCATAATGCTTACACTTTTAAAAGAATACATAAAACTGCACAGCCATCTATCTAATGTTAGCTGTGTCCTGATTAAAGCATGGCAAAACTTCCTAGGAAAAGATCACTTCTTGTGACCCATGTTTATTTGAACTCAATAAGTCACTGATAACCTTACACAAAACAGAGCACTGCCTGATCCTGCGCCATTCTCACAATCATTGTTAAGCTTGAATCCACTGCTGCTGTCACTGTGCCAAACCATCTTGCTGGGGGTGGTGGTGATGTTTTCCTTTTAGCTGATCCTCCACTTTTATAGGGCCTGTTCTCTCCTGAAAACAAGTCTGAAATATGGAAGGCAAAGTTTCACCATTCTGGCTTTTTTAAGGAGCATTCTGGTTATACTTCTTCCAACACAGATTTTTTTGTTCTTCTGGCAGTCCATGGTTCTTTGAATATTCTCCTCCAACACCAAAATTTAAATGCATCACTTCTACTGTCTTCCTTATTCACTGTCAACTTTCACATGAAAATATCATGGCTAGGGTTAGGCTCACCTTAGTCCTCAAACTGACATCTTATGCATCAGATGTGCCTATGCGATACGTTGTTTGATTTCTTAACTGCTGCTTCTAGGAGTGTTGATAGTGGATCCAAGCAAAATGAAATCTTTTTGACTTCAATCTTTTCTCCATTTAGCATGTTAATTGTTTTCTTTACATTGAAGTAACCCATACTGAAGGCTGTGGTCTTTGATTTTCATCATTACTTTAAGTTCTCTTAGTTTTCAGCAAGGAAGGTTGTATTATCTGCACATCTCAGGTTATTAATGAGTTTTCCTCTAATCCTGATGCCACGCTCTTCTTCATATAATCCAGCTTCTTGGATTATTTGCTCAACATACAGACTAAGTATGCTGAAAGAATACAATCCTGGCATACATCTTTCCTGATTTTAAACCATTCAATGTCCCCTTATTGTTAGAACAACTGCTCCTTCATCTATGTACAGGTTCCTCATCAGCACAATTAGGTGTTTTTTGAAATGTTATTCATAGCTTGTCATGATCCATACAGCCAAAAGCCTCTGCATAATCAGTCAATAAAGCACAAGCAAACATCTTCCTGGTATTTTCTGCTTTCAGTCAAGATCCACCAATGTCAGCAACGAGATCCATTCCATGTTCTTATCTGACTCCAGCTTGAACCTCTGACAGTTCCCTGCCAATGTATTGCTGCAGCCATTTTTGAATTATCTTTAGTAAACTTCTACTTGAATGTGATAGTATATTATTCGATGGTTTCTGCATTCCTTTGAGTCACCTGTCTTTGGATGGGCACAAATACAGATCTCTTCCAATCAGTTGGCCAGAGAGTTGTCTTCCAGTTTTTTGACATAGATGAGTGAGCACTTCCAGTTCTTTCCCAACGCCTTCAGTGCACCTTGGACTTCCTCCTTCAGTATCATTGGCTCTTGATCATATGCTACCTCTTGAAATGGTTGAACATTGACCAGTTCTTTTTGGTATAGTGACTCTATTCTTTGCATCCTTTTGATGCTTTCTGCGTCATTCAATAATTTGCCCAGAGAATCCTTCAGTATTTCAAGTCAAGGCTTGAATTTTTTCTTCAGTTCTTTCAACTTGAGAAATGCTGAGAGTGTTCTTTCCTTTTGGTTTTCTAGCTCCATATCACTTTACATTTCATTATATTTGACTTTGTCTTCTTGAGCTGCTCTTTGAAATTTTCTGTTCAGCTCTTTTACTTCCTATCTTCTCCATTTGTTTTAGCATTATTACACTGGAGAGCAAATTGCAGAGTTTTACAACATCCATTTTGGTATTGATTTTTTTAATGACCTTTGCTTTCTTCATGTTCAATGTTAATGTCATTACATAATTCTGGTCTTCAGTCTTTAGTGTCTAATGCAATAAATCTGTTCTTCAGATGATTTCTAAATTCAGGTGTGATATGTCTAAGGTCAAATTTTGGCTCTCGAGGACTTGTTTTCATTTTCATCAGTTCAACCTGAACTTATATAAGTTGATGGTGTGTTCCACAGTCAGCCCCTGGCCTGGCTTTGGCTGATGATACAGGCTTTCCCACTGTTTTCTTCCATAGACGCAGTCAATTTGATTTCTGTATATTCCATGTGGTGAGGTCCATGTGTATGGTCATCTTTTATGTTATTTAAAAAGGTATTTACAATGAAGAACTCATTGATCTTGCAAAATTCTATCACTTGATCTCTAGTATCACTTCTATCACAAAGTCCACTACTGATCCTTCCTCTTTGTTTCCAATCTTTGCATTCCATTTACCAGTAATTATCAATACATCTTGATTGCATGCTTGATCAATTTCAGATTGAGGAAGTCAGTAGAATTCTTCTCTTTCATCATCACTGGCTTAGTGGTTGGTGCGATTGTAGGCGTATGGTTATTATCCTATCACAAACAGCATTATACTGCGAGATTGATGTTGAAATTTTTTTTTATGATTAACATAATGTCATTCCTCTTCAATTTGTCATTCCTGGCATACTACATCATATTATTGTCAAGATTCAAATGACAAATACCAGTCCATTCCAACTCACTAATGCCTAAGATTTCGATGTTTATACGTTCCATCTCATGTTTGACAACTTCCAGTTTGCCTATATTCATACTTTTTGCATTTCATATTCTAATTATTAATGGATGTTTACATCTGGTTTTGTCATTTTGAGTTTTGTCCCATTAGCAAATGAAGGTTCCAAAAGCTTTACTACATTCACATCATCATGGTCAACTCTACTTTGAAGAGGCAGCTCTTTCCCAGTTGTATCTGAGTGCTTTCCATCCTGAGGGTCACATCTTCCAACATTATCTCTGACAATATTTTGGTGCTCTTCATCATGTCTCAATATTCAATATACCTGTGCTATTGAACAGGGTTCCACTCTTATTTATAAGGTTGTCTTCAGTGGCTAATAATTCAGAAGTAGTCCACCTCTTCTCCTTTCTAGTCTGTCAGCTCAACTGAAACCTGTCACTGTGGGTGTACCTGCTGGTATATAAAATACCAGTAGCATAGTTTCCAACATCATAATAGCAGGCAAGCCACCAAAGTACGACTAGTGGTAGAACTCAGTAAGTTATCCTGCCTCATTATCAATGAGGAGGCCACCTTGGTGTGCCCACCGTTCCCATAAAGGCATAACACACTGGCAATAAACATAATGATAAGTGGGATGCATCAATAAGAAAAATGTGCCAACGGTCACAGGAGGGCCATATGTGGGCAGATGGCTCAGCCACACCTATTAATGCAAGGCAAAAACTATTCACAAAGTACAATTAAAAGGACATTAGCAACATTCTACATCTATAGGAATGACAACACTTTCTACTTTTTCCAACCAAAGAGCAGATTTTCTCAAAATTCTAAATCAGATGGAGAAGAGTCAGCAGTATAATAGTACTTGTATTTATCTACATCTTTATTTAAAATTTAAAGAGAACTCTACATTAGCAGCATTTAAATTTAATATTATGACTTTCTCATTAATAGCTGAATAGCTGAGCTTGAAGGAGCTCTGGTAGCATAGTGGTTACGAATTAGGCTGTTAATCTCACAGTCAGCAGTTTGAAACTACCAGCTGTTCTGCGGAAGAAAGATGAGGCTTTCTGCTCCCGTAAAGATTTACAGCCTCTGAAACCCTGTACAGGGTCGCTATGAGTCGGAACCGACACCATGGCACATAACAACAAACCTGAGCTTGACCAAGGAGTGTGGTTCTCCGTTTGTACTTCTACATCAAACTTTTTATTATCTTCACTTCTTCCACAATGAAGAATTTTACTGAGCTCTTCCACCTGAAAGAAAGTAAGGTTTTAGGAAAACAAATTATACACCAATCTAATAAACAAACCCATAAAGCTTTCTGCTCCCAAAGATTTACTGCCTCAGAAACAGGGTTGCTATGAGTTGGGATCAACTCCACAGCACATACCAGCCAACGAATCATACCAATTTAAATGCACCATTCTCCTGAAACTACAGTATAAGTGATTACTGTTACTAGTAATAGCTTTAGAGAACTATCAAACTAGCTTCCTTTTCACAAAAACAAAAATATTTTACATTTAGTACAGAGTTGTTTTTTAAACTCACTTACTAAACCACTCTACCAAAATATCATGGATAATGAAACTTTGGAAATAGGACTCTTCATAACAAAAAGAATGTGATTATGTACAAATATTTTAAAAATCTACAGTTCTCCCTAGAGAATTAAACAAGTAAAACTATATAAATTTCAATCCATACTGAGATAAATTCCCTATTGTCTATAAAATTATTCACTGAAAATAAATTTATGGCACTTAGATATTTTAATGTACGTTTTCCTTTGAATAGCAGTCATGCTTAACTAGAGCAGAAGGGAACAGGGTAACTGCTTCCGAGGGGAATCTGTTCTCTATGTGCCTCATGCATTGATTACTTCTGAAAGGAGGCTATCTATGCCAGAGGAAGAGCGAGGAGCTGCCTCAATCACTACACTTCAGTCTGACAGGGTCTCAATGTGACATATTGTCTAGCACTCAAGTAGTAGCATGAAACTAATAGCAACAAAAGCATTAAACTATTTCTTTAATAAAGCATAAAGCTTAAAAGGAAAAAAAGGTGATCAAACAGGTTATCTGAGCACTTTATGAGTTCCTACATCCTGTACAACTCCAGGGCTGGGATTAGGTTGAGGCAAGCAAACCTAGTGCTTCAAATAGAAGGCATTCACTCTCAGATTGTCTTAATCTTCATCTACAGATGAAAACTCCTAAGAGCGTTATGGGTCACGAATCAACTCAATGGCACTTTTTCACAAACTTTTTACTCCAAAGTTTGTACATACTGTGCTTTACTACTAGTTCATTCTCAATTCTCAGGCTACCTTTTTACTGCTCCAAATAAACAAAATCCAGTAAATTTGGCTGATACTCAACAACAAAACTCTACCCTGTCCACTACACTGAGGAGTGAACCCATTGTCATCTAGGTAACTCTGACTCATAGTGAAATGACAGGACAGAGTAGAGCTGTCCACAGGGTCCCCGCGATTAGATCTTCAAAGGAGCAGGCAGCCTCATCTTTTTCCCTTGGAGTACTGATGGGTTTGAACCGCTGACCTTGTGGGTAACAGTCCAACGCCTAATGCACAGCACCATCAGGGCTCTCTGTTTGTTAAGTGCCCTCAAGTCAGTTCTAACAGCAACCCTGGATAAGGTTTCCAAGGAATGGCTGGTGCTTATCCTACAGCACCACACTAAGACCCTATAGAAGAGTTGAAAACAAACAAAAAAACACTGCCATCCAATCAATCCAGACTCATAATGATCCTCCATAGGGTTTCTGATCTGCCAATGTTTATAGGAGCAGACAGCATCATCATTCTTCACAGAGCAGCTGGTGCATTTGAAGTGCTGACCTCGCAATTAGTAGTTCAGTGCTTATTCTACATCACCACCAGGGCTCCTTTTAGAAGAGTGGTTCCACCTATCCTGGGCAGGATTTCAGAAGCTGTGAATCTCTACAGGAGCAGATAGCCTCTTATTTCTCCTGCGGAGGTACTGGTGGATTCAAACTGCTGACCTTTTGGTGGTAGTCCAACTCGGAACCTACTACATGATGTTGCTAAGTGCCATTAAGTTGGTTCTGACCCACAGAAACCCTGAATAGGGTTTCCGAGGAGCAGCTGGTGGGTTTGAACTGCCACCTTGTTGTTCTCAGTCCAGTGCTGATCCTAAGGCAGAAATAAAATGCAAAGTGAAGACTTCCTATGCATTTCAAACTTTCATATTAAATAGCTATCAAATTAACACAACCAAAATGCTGGCTCTTCAGAGATTAGTAAAAGTGTTTTCTTTCAGACTCTAAGGTCACTGCAGAAGCAGGGGGCTCCATCGATGTGCACTGACTGGACTGTGAACCACAAGAGCAGCGGGTTGAGCCCCCCAGCTGCTCCACGTGAGAATGAGGCTTTCAGCTGTTAAGATTCAAAGCCTCAAAAACCCTATACAGGGTGGTCACTATGAGTCATAAGAGACCCAACAATGGGTTTGGGGTTATAGCAGGCAGTATTTCAACAATCTAAAATTATAAAACGGTTTTTGTTTTGTTTTTAAAGTTTGTACCCCTCCGCTCACAATTAATTTTACAATTTGTCTTTTTCTTGCTAAGTCCTGACTAGTTCTTGTAGATGTTCAGCTTAAAAAAACAAAGCCGCTGCAGAATACGGGTCTAAGAACGTGAATACATTTTGTACGTGGATTCTAACTCACATTAACCCTATCAGACAGTAAAAGTGCCGCGGAGGGATTCCAAGGCTGTAAAGCTTTTCAGAAGCCTCAAGCCACAAGATCTGGCTAGAAGGTTCACATGGCTGACTTTTGGTTAGAAGTCACTACATAACCCGGGCTCCTTATGAAGACTAGATGTTGTTGTTTGTTGTTAAGTGCCGCTGAGTCAATTTCAACTCATAGTGACCCTGTAGAGAGGCTATGGTGAGTCTGAATTGCCCACCTTGTAGTTCAAACCGACTTTGAAATCCAGCACTGCTTTATTCCACAGTGCAACACCAGGACTCCATGAAAGGCTAAATAACAATTAAAACGAATATTTATGTGCAAAAGATAAAAGTCCAGAGTGTAGAAATGTCCAAAAAATCCTCCACGTGGAAAATGATCTACTTAACGGTTTACAGAAAAGACATTTAAAATATTTGCAAAGTTGGTTTGAGACTCAAGGTCGGCGGTTCAAGCTCACCGCTCCTCCTCAGAAACCCTACACAGGGTCGCTATGGGTCGGAACTGACTCGATGGCACTTCACAACTGTACCTTTGAAAACAAAATAAACCACTTAAGGAGTCCAAAGAAGGCAGCTGACGTCTTCCCTACTTCCAACAAAAAACCGCAAGAAGATAAACACCCAGAATGAAGTCCCTTACACTTGTATAGTTTTAAAGTCTATGTAACGGTTTCACACTCAATCTGATTTAAACGTCACAAGTGTGTGCTGCTATTATCCCCCATTTTCTGATGGGCAACTGAGACTGTGCATCATTCACATCACACCATCAGGTGAGAGCCAGAGGTGGGCTTCGGAGCTATGTCCGGAGCTTAAACAAACTAAAACATGATCTCGAATAGTATATATTGAAAACGGACCTACTGTCAAAGGGATGTTACAGGTAAGAACGAGCTCCATCGAACCAAATATTTAAGTTCAATGCACACCAGCCGTAACCACTACTCAATTAAAAATCGAGAAACCCAAATTTTTAATTTGGTTTGCTCCCACAGTTACCGCATTGAGTTGTTTTTCGTAGCTGTTGTTTTGGGTTTTTTGAACAAACGATTTCTAATACTTTATAAAGTAGCTCTGCACTCGTGCCCCGAGCGGGGGCTAGTCGGCGGCTTGGAAGGCCAGGCCCCAGGCTGCCTGGGGCGCGGGCTGGAGGCGGAGCGCGCACCTGAGTGCGGAGCTCCTGGTTGTTGCTCTCGGCGCTTTGGTACAGCTGCTCCGTGTGGTGCAAGAGCCTCTCGATCTCTTGCACCTGCCGCTTGCAGCTCCGCAGTTCGCGTTCTAACTTCTCCACCTTCCGCCGCAGCTGGGCCAGCTCGGGCTCCGGGGAGGTAGGCGGCGACGACGAGGGCGACGGCGGCTGGGACGGCACCTCGGAGGCCATGTGGTCCTGCGCGCAGGGGTCCACGGACGCAGAGGGGCTACGCTCAGGCAGAAGCAGGCGCCGGCGGGCCCAGAGGCCACGGGAGCGCGGGGGCAGCGAAAGGCCGCCTCACACCCGCCCGGCCGCGGCGGCCCCTGGCCATGACGACCTAAAGCTCGCTGCCTGTAGCCGAGGGCGGCAACGAGCAAGGGGACGCAGCCTAAGCTGCGAGCTGCAAAACCCAGAAACCCAAAACTTTATTGGCAACTACCTTCCCCAGTGACAGAGAAAGCAGGAGGAGCGTTTGGGTAGTGGGCGGGCCAGGGATGGAAGACCACACGCTCTTCTCGGGTGGCTCCTGTGCGGAACCGGAAACAGTGGCCACGCCGATGGGTGGGACTGAAACAGAAAAGGAAGCGACGGAAAGCGGGCAGAGTCTGATATTGCCCATGCGCACTTTCCGCAACTGCGCTTCCCGTGATGCAGTGAGGGCAGGGTTACCATTGAGCTGGAAAAGCCGAGAAGGCCTTGCTTTGGTCTCACTCTGTTGTACTTGCTATTCTGCATAGAGTTCATGCTCTAGCTCCCCATTTTACAGTGAGAACATTATAAAGCAGGATTCGATCCTAGTGTTCGTGACGCGCAACTTACTTATTCCACTGATTTCATGAATTTGTGTTGTGTTGTTAAGTGTCCTTATGTCGGTTCAATTCTGAGTGACCCTGTATAGGTTTTAAGAGGGGTAGCTGGTAGGTTTGAAGTGCTGACTTGGTGGTTGGTGGTGGTTGTTAAGTGCCGTCTAGGCGGTTCTGACCCATAGCGAACCGAACCGTATGCTTCCTAAGAGTGACTGCTGAGCTTGAATCGTCAACCTTGCAGTTCAAACCGCTTAGCAGTCTGGCGCATTAACCCCCAGCGCCACACCAAGACTACTTGTGGTTGGTAGTCCAGTGTTTATCCTATAGTGCTACACCAGGAATCCTTACCAAGAAAAACAAAGCAAATATATTAAGTCTGAATTGAGAAGATTATTCCTGGTGGGAAAATAAACAGCAGGATTTTGTGGAGGAAGCAAAAACCTCCAATTGAGTGCATTTTGTTACGTGTGTGTGCATGTGCGTGTATTTGCGTGAAGACTAGCATTGGTTCAACAGTCTTTTGTCATGGACTTTTCTTTCGCCAATACGTTGTTGTGGTTATGTGCCATGGAGTCGGTTCCGACTCATAGTGATCCTGCACAGGGTTTCCGAGGCTGTAAATCTTTAAGGGAGCAGAAAGCCTCATTTTTCTCCCTCAGAGCAGCTGGTAGTTTCGAACTGCTGACCCCGAGGATAGCAGCCTAATTCGTAACCACTACGCTAAATTATATTTAAACCTTGAATTCCAGACACTCAGTCAGAGACCATGCGTTTTTCTTACCCTGAACCTACAACGGAGTTTGTTACAGAGCTGGTGTCCTAAGTATTTTTTGAATACATCTAAACATAAGCATCCTTTTTGATGGCATGATTCAGTGCCCACTGTTTTCTGTTTTGCTCTGTATGGCCCACCAGCTCACAGATTGTAACAGGCACAAGCTCTCTAGATTATATATATCTTTATAACGGGCCCAAATAAGGTACCATCCGGATTCTACCCTAATACAAGATCATTCTCTAGTCATCAAAGGAAATTTAGTTAAACGACAAAGTATGTAACAGATGTACTGCAATAATATTCTCTTTTCCCTTAATTCATTATAGTCCATTCCATAAATGTATCCAGATCTTTTGTATAGAAGGTATCTATAAGACATTTCGTACACATCATCTGTAAGATACCTCTAAGAAAGGATTTCAGGTTTAAATAATTAATTAGAGACTGAATATTGTTTTCATTAGCTGCCATCAAGTTGGCACAAAACAATGCCTAGTCCTACACCATCCCGTGATGGTTGTGGATTGTCCCATCCATATTATCGTTACTGGCTGATTTCCGGAAGTGGAGCTCCAGGTCTTACTTCCTCGTCTGTTTTAGTCTGGAAGCTCTTCTTAAATCCTATTCAGAATCATTTGTTGTTGTTGTTGCTAACTGCCTACGAGTAGGTTCCAACCCATGGCGACCCTATACAGGGTTTCCAAGGAGCGACTGGTGAGTTTGAACCACTGGCCTTATGGTTCAAACAACTTTGCATTCCAATGCATTAACCCACAGCGCCACAATAGGACTCATAAACATAGCAACCCGAAAATCTCCATGGACATATGGGAGTAGAGAAACCCATCAGTGAACTATAATGACTCAATAAAGAATAAATTTATTAGCTGCTGTTGGAGGAGAATACTGAAAGTGTCATGGACTGCCAGAGCCTGAGCGTTCCTTGGAGGCCAGGATGGCCAAACTTTGTCTCTAATACTTCTAACACATTGTCAGGAGGGACCAGTTCCTGGAGAAGGATATCATGTTTGGTAGGGTGGAGGGTCAGAGAAAAAGAGGAAGACCCCCAGCAAGATGGATTGGCAAAGTAGTAGTATCAATGGGCTCAAGCGTAGCAACGATAGTGAGGTTGGCCCAGGATTGGGCAGTGTTTCATTCTGCTGTGCATACGGTCGCTATGAGTCGATACCGACTCAATGGCATCTAACAACAACAACAATACATTTTAAAAAGTTTCTGTTGGGCATTGTTCTTGCCTACTGTATGTACTAAATACCTCTTGTGGTATGTTGTCAAGCCAGTTCCAACTCATAGTGACCTGTACAGGGTTTCTGTAGGACTCTTGGTAGCCTACTGATTACATGTTGAGCTGTTAAACTCAAGGTCAGCAATTTGAATCCGCCAGCTTCTCCATAGGAGAAAGATGAGGCTTTTTTCTCCTGTAAAGATGCACAGCCTTGGAAACCCTATACAGGGTTGCTATGAATCAGAACAGACTTGATGGCACACAACCACCACCACCATAAGGTTTCTGAGAGCTACTGGTAGATTTGAACTGTCAACCTTTCATTTACTAGTCTAGCATTAATCCTTTAAAAATTGTTATTAGGTGCCATTGACTGGGTTCCAATATGTAGCAACCCCTGGTCTAACAAAACGAAACACTGCCTGGTCCTTCACCATTCTGTTTAAGTTCATTAATTCTGCCACTGTATTGATCCATCTTGTTGAGGCTATGAAAAATTTTATTAAATTACCCAGATCTTTTCACTCACTGTCTACCTAGCATGATGTCTTCCTCCAGAGAGTTTTGATAACATGTCCAAAGTATATAAGACAAAGTCTCCCTGTTATTGGATTTGAGAAGACCCCAGCCTTGTAATGTAATCAAGAATGACCAAGTTATCAGGCCTACTTTTTAACAATGGTTTTATAATATAATAACAAAAAGCACAAACAGCAACAGACAAATAGGACCTCAAAAAAATTCACAACTTTTGCTTATCAAAAGACATAACCAAAAGTGAAAAGATAAACTACAAACTGGGGGAATATCTTTAGAAAATATCCAGTAACCATAATGTATATAAAACTTCATCAGCAACAAAATGACAACCCAATCAAACAAAGGGCAAAGGACTTGAGTAGACATTTCAGCCAAGAGAACATTCAAAGGACAACCCAGCAAATGAAAAGATGCTTGGCATCATTACCCATCAGAGAAGCAAATCAGTCCACAATGACATCTCGTTTCGTTCCCACTAAGTAACTAAAATGGAGCTCTGGTAGTAGTGGTTACGAATCGGGCTGCTAACCTCAGGATCAGCAGTTCGAAACTACCAGCTGTTCCAAAGGAGAAAGATGAGGCTTTCTGCTCTTGTAAAGATTTACAGCCTCAAAAACCCTGTACAGGGTTGCTAAGAGTCAGAACCGACTCCATGGCACATAACAACAAGAAGTAACTAAATGGAGTCTTGGTGTAGTGCTGTAGGTTAATGCACTGAACTGAAAAGTTAGCTTGAACTATAAGGTCGGCAGTTAAAGCTCACCAGCCACTCCTTGGAAATCCTATACAGGGTCGCCATGGGTTGGAACCAACTCAACGACACTTAACAACAACAACAACAACAAGATAACTAAGGAGTCCTGATGTGGTGCTGTAGGATAAGCATTCACCTTCAAGGTCAGTTTGAACTGCAAGGTCGGCAGTTCAAATTCACCAGCTGCTCCTTGGAAATCCTTTACAGGGCTGCTATTCATTGGAACCAGCGCAGTGGCATTTAACAACAACAACACCATGCAAAGGAACATCATAGCTCTATAGGATAAGCAGTGTACTGAGACCCCACCAGTCACTCCTTGGTAGAAAGATGAGGCTTTTGCTTTAAAGATTTACAGTCTCAAACACTATACAGGGTTGCTATGAATTGGAACCAACTCAATGGCACAACAGCAAACTAGGTAAGATTTAAAAAAATTAAACTGGAAACTGGAACCCACGTCCTTTGTTGAATGGGGTGCAAAATGGTACAACTGTTGTGGGAAACAGTGCATGACAGGTTCCTAAAGAAATTAAAAATAGAACTACCATGTGAACCAGCAATTTCACACCTAAGTACACACCCAAAAGACTTTTAAAGTAGAAATTCAAAGAGACTTGTATACCAATGTTCATTGCAATTCTATTCACTATAGCCAAAGGGTAGAAACAACCTACATGCTCAACAACAAATCAATGCAAAAACAAAATGTAGCTCAAATATACAATGGAATGCTTATTAACCAGGAGGAGAAATGAAGTCTTGATACATGCTGCAGTATGGATGGAACTTGAAGACATTATGCTGAGCAAAATAAGACAATCCCCAAAGAACAGATATTGTATGATCTTACTTATATAAACAGTCATGAAATGCACATGAGACCCAAGTTTATTAGTGGGTATCAGGGGTGGAGGTGTGGAGGGGGAGCTGATGATGATGTGCTGCACTGATTAAAGGTAGGGCTGTTCCGTGGATTATTGTAATTGCTATTAAGTTACAGACCTGTAAAAAGTTGAATTGCCAAAATTTGTGAAACAGATAAATTTATAACAAAAACAAACA